TGCACGCATGCAAGGTACACGACCTGCCCTAGCAGCAACTTTTTTAGCTTCTGCTGTTCCTGCTGCTGCTGCTGCTGCTGCTGCTGCTGCTGTTACTGCTGCTGTTGCTGTTGCTGCTGTTGCTGCCGCTACTCTTCTGGCTGCTGCTCCTGTTGCTGCTGCTGCTGCTGCAGCTGCAGGGCTGCTAGCAACGGAGCGGTGGAGCTCCTGCAGCAGCAGCAGCAACAGCAGCAGCAGCAGCAACAGCAGCAGCAGCAGCAACAGCAGCAGCAGCAGAAACTGCAGCTGCTTTTGCTGCAGCAGCAGGAGCTGCAGCAGCAGCAGCAGCAGCAGCAGCTGCTGCTGCTGCTGCTGCTGCTGCAGTATTAGTTGTGTGTAATGAGCTGCCCCGCGCTGCTCTCTGAAGCTGCATGTAGACGGAAGCATGCAGACAGCAGCAGCGCTTGCTGCTGCTGCTGCTGTTGCTGCTGCTGCAGCTGCTGCTGCTGCCTCTGCAGCAGCAGCTTCTCCAAAGATGAACCGACAGCTGAAGAAGTAGAGATACCTGCTGCTGCTGCTGCTGCTGCTGCTGCTGCTGCTGCTGCTGCTCCATCTCCAGCTGTGCTTGCTGCTGCTGCTGCTGCTGTGTCTGCTGCTGTTGCAGCAGCAGCAGCAGCAGCTGCTGCTGCTGCTGCTGCTGCTGGTGAGTCAGAGCCCAGCAGCAGCAGCTGCTGCTGAAAATCTGAGAGAATGCTGCAGGCAACCTGCGGGTTAAGCCCGGTGCAGCAGCTAGCTGCTGCTGCTGCTGTTGTTGCTGCTGCTGCTGTTGCTGCTGCTGCTTCTTTGTTGCTGCTGTCTGCTGCAACTGCCGCATGCAGCAGCAGCAGCAACGAACTCCCCGCAGCAGCAACTGCAGCAGGTAGATATACATCTGCTGCTAAACGCCCAGCTGCAGCACGAACCGTACACACGTCCTGCTGCTGCAGCAGCAACCTGCTGCTGCTGCTGCTGCTACTGCCGCAGCTGCTGCTTCTGCTGCTGCTACTACTGCTGCTGCTGCTACTGCTGCTGCTGCTGCTGCTGGGAAGGAAAGGAGGAACTAACAGCCCCACATCTGCTGCTGCTCGAACAGCTACAAGTGCCTCTTGCTGCTGCTGCTGCAGCTGCTGTTGCTGCTGCTGCTGCTGCTGCTGCTTCATCTTCCACCTGTAGCCTTGTGCTGCTTTTACTGTGCCCAAGGCGAAGCAGCAGGCAGCAAAGGTGCTGCATGCGCGCTGAACCAGCTGCTGCTGCTGCTGCTGCT